ACAGGAGTCACCCCACCGCGCTCCAATACTCCAGGTCATTCCTTTCCCCCCTTTGATGCGCTCTTTTCCTGCTTTTTCTAGTGACGTATCATCGAACTAAACTTGCTTGCTCGGGCCTCGAGTCTCCGTTCCGGGCTGCACCCAGTTCGGCGACTCGTTGTCCGAGGATGTGGGCTCTTCGTGCCCAGGTTTTGGTGTTTGGTTAATTCTTTTGGATGACTGTCACCTTTTTGTTAGTATTTTTTTTTATTTTATTTTGGTGGCCAAAGCCTTTATTTATTTTTATTATTTTTTTAAGGTTGTCCTGAAAATAAACATCAGTTAATAAAATTTCTAGTGCTGCATGCTGAGGTTTCTTCTATTGGTAGAGCTACGAATTATCTAGACTTATTGTGTTTGCCAGGATTTGCTGTTTTCGTCTTTTGTGCTTCCATCGATGGAACGCATCATATCGTATTATCTCTCACAGGATCGGGCTTGGATGATTCTTTAATTCTGCAAACCTAATTCTGGCTTTTTCTGTTATTTTATCTATCACCCTTACTTGTTGCAGTTCTCTAAACAGAAAGCGTTCAGCGACGTATCTGAGTACATTTGCCGCTTCTTTGAGGATGTTATTGTGAGCTGCTTGTAATTTTTTTTATTTGAATTGCTATGTGTCCCCATGCGAGAGATGCATATGTGATTATTGGAAGTATGATGCTGTTTATCAGTCTCATTTTCGTCTTTATGCGCAGTTTGCTTTTTCTACCTATGACTCCTCTTGTTGCTGATTTTTGGACGGTTGTGTCCATGTGTTGCGTGAAGGTTAAGCCTTGGTCTATAGTGACTCCTAGGTATTTCGCTTCTCTTTTCCATTTGATGGGATTATCTTGCACTAACAGCTGTTCCTCTGGGGTTTCTCTTTTCTTTTTATTACAATATGATTGCTTGTGTCTTTTCAGAATTAATTGCTATTTTCCATTGGATATACCATTCTTCAATGTTATCCAATGCTGTCTGGAGATTGTTGACCTCTACTTCTAAATTTCTGTGTTTGGCCGCAATCGCTGTATCGTCTGCATAAAGGCTGAGTAGTATTCTTGCTGTTCTTTGAACATCTGCGGTGTATATTGTGTACAGTAGGGGTGACAGGAGGTCTCCTATTGTTATGGACGGCTCTATATTCAGGTTGTCGTCTAATAATCTCGTGGCCTTACGTATGCAAATGTGACTCTGATATCTTCTTGCCTCATTTGTACTTGTAGTTGCATACTACTAAGTAATTGTAGTTGCTTCCATAGTGTTTAGTTTTGGTGTTAGTATTCTGGTGTGTGGAATTCCTTTTCTCACTAGAATAGCAGTGCCTCAATTTGGTTTCATGTATTGCTACGACGGTTTCCATTTCGTGTCTATTGATTACTTCGTCCAAAACATTCACATTTGTTCTTATACCGCCTGGATTCCAGGAGTCTATCTTCAAGTGCAATACCATTCAGCCAGCCATTCTCGCGTCCGTCTTTCATGTTGAGAACACAGTAGCGTTGAGACTATAGCTTGGAGGCAAATAACGTATTATATTTTCTTAAAAGTAAGAAATAATTTGATTTTATTTTTCTAAAAAATATTTTTGTAACTGAATTATGTGTGACAATAAAAAATATATTCAATTATACAACGTACAGATCGTAATCATTGGTATTTTTGTTTGTTATTGTAGTTATATCTTAATTAATACTTTTATCTGTATAACTACTTAAATATATCCATTAGTTTTTAACATCACATAAAAAAATTCCACAGTTAATTGACAAGTTGGGTGTTGTTAATGGTATATATAACGTCATTGTCACATTAACAAGTATATTCGACTATTATGTGTTTGTTACTATTTATATGAACTTATTGAATTGGACAATAACACATTTCCAAATTGTCATTAAACAAATCGCAGAAAAATAACACTTTAATGATTGTCAATTAGTAGTTTCACATAGAAAACCATGAGGGATTTGTGAAGTACGACGGAATAAGGAAATTTGCTTATATTAGGGTTGCCACACCTTCTCATATAAATCACACATGTAAACAGATTAAAAATACGGTCCCTGCCGTCCCAATTCGTCCATTAAATGTCCCAGTAAAACTTTTTAAATCCAATTTTTTCCAATTTTTATTTATGAATCAATTCTATAATTTTATCAGAAAAAACTCTGTAAGGACAATAATTTCAAATTTTCTTTTACATTTCGTCAAGTAATATGACCCTTTATGTTACACAAATGTGATTCCCATAAAATAAAATGGACAGCAAGTGGAGCGTACCAACTTCAAAAGTCTCTTATGACTTCAATCTTTCTTTGGTTTTTGCCGTTTATCAAATAATTTTAACAGAAGACAAAGACGACATCATCTACAAGATGAAAAGCTGGAAGAAATTTTGATACTTTTTTTCACTGCAAAAGCGTTCTTTGGCGTATTTCAGATGCCCCTGAAGATGTTCTGAGAGCGAAAATACTTGGGCTAGATTTAATAAAAAACTGCCTTTTATTTGTAAGACTCATATTCGAGCATTCAACCAGATCTCATTTAATTGAAATTGTTTTGTTATGTATGAAAAAAAAGTCTTGCATTGACTCACAGCCAGTCTGCTGAGTGTTGGTCTGCTGTTGGATCAGTGATCAGTGAGTTTGTTGTTATAAAAGCTTATAATGGAAAAGGAAATAAATGATAGTCGAGGTTTTACTCCCTTCTCTCGTAATATGTTTCATTTCAATTATTGAAAGTAATCTTAATGGTTCTGTTAGTAAAATCGATGTTTAATAATTGTTGTTTAATTGTTATTTGAAGTTGTTTTAAAATAGAATCATGTTCGACAAGTAAAATCACTACTTGCGTTTTTCAAATAGATATTGTTAAGTTTACTTGTTTACAAATTGCTTTATCATTATTTAAAAATTGTAATTTAATTTGAATAACCTTTCTCGGGTAAATAAAGATGAAACCAACTTTTTTCTTTTCTTTCTTTTCTGTCACATACACGTCGTACAGTGTGTACAGAAGAACTTTTCGCTGCTCTAGAGTGAATCAGTCTATCGGCCATCGTGGATACGTTTCCATCCACTTTATGGAAGATTTTGCTGAAAGATCTTGATTTGGATGCATACAAAATCCAACTCATGCAAGAATTGAAGGTGCACCATCTATGGTGCCTATAAGCATGAAACGATCGACCACTTGGAGGACAACATTCGCCGCGTTAAAGACTGGAAAAAGTCATGATGGTCATATGCCATAAATCATATTTAGATTATAATGCCAAAAGATTATATTTGGAATAAAGTCAATTTCTAAAAACCATCTGTGTTTTATTCAATTTCAAGCTATTCCATGTATATTGCATTTGCTAGCTATACGCATTTGTGTTCTTTACGTTGAATAAAGAAGGCTATAGATTATGAATTTCCAATAATTGATCAAATATATGTTTTGTAAAAAGCCTGGATTAGAGTTTTAAGATTTTTACTACCGAATTTGTCTGTCAAAGGATGAAAGAGTCTGCTTGTTTCTTGCCAGGTGTAAAACTGCCAGTAGATGTATTCCAATTTAGAGTCCTCGTGAGTAGGGCTCTCTTAAGAAGTTAAGTGTTGGGCTAAACGTGAGCCTCCCCTTGGATTGACTGATCCAGTTATTGTGTAATTCTTGGAGAGAGAGAGAGAGAGAGAGAGAGAGAGAGAGAGAGAGAGAGAGACAGAAGCCTTGGTACTCCATCTGCGTAGAGTAAGATTTAGGTACCTCGGAAATTTGAATTTTTTTGGGGTCATTGGTAATAAGATACAAAAAAAGAATGAAAATCACTGACCTTTCCTTCGTAGATTGTATTGGGAATATACCCAGAATCGTCCAAGCTCCACAGCAATGTGATCTGCCACTATTCGCCTCAGGTTTCTTCTTTTCGTATTTGCAATCCTCCTGCAGCGACTGTACGAAACACCTGACTTAATTCTCCAAACACTCAGCTACTTCTCAATAACACAAGGGCCTGTTTCTGTCAACTTGGTGCCGCCAAACTATTTCCTACGTATTCCAGAAACTGCCCACTTTACATCCAAGTATATCTTTTCATCGACTTGTAATCTCCTTCCACAATTCTGCTAAATTCCTTTCACAATGCCGGTATCCAAACTCACGAACACATCCTCTATAGAGACGCGCCCTTTCCTTTCGATGATCAAATTACAACTGCCACTTTCTCTCATACATCGACTATCAATTCTCCCATTCAAAAAAAACTGTCAAATCAAAAAGCTTTATTTTGTTTACAGTTATTAAGAAAAAACCCCATTACTGTTTCCTTCTTCTTCTAGTTCCATGACCGTTATCGATCGTTGGATATCACGTTGGCTATCATATTCGCTATCGTGACTTTATTCTCGTTCATTGCCTTAGATTTTTCATCCATGATATTCTTCTACCAGGACCACGATTACTTTGGATCTTTTCCTGAATGATCAGATGTAAAAGATCATATTTTTCAGGGTGTCTCATAATGTGACCGAAGTATTCCAGCTTGCGTTTCTTTATTGTATTGACCAGTTGTGTTGTTTGGCTCAGCCGTCTAAGGACCTCTTCATTTCTAACTCTGTTGACCAGACAATTACTGTTTCCAGAGAAAATAAAATTTTTGCTTTAAAACTGCTTTCTTTACAATAACTTAATCCTAGGTCATATACAAACAATGAAAAGATTATAATGAGTATGGGCTTTCTAATTCTATATAAAAAGATTTTACCTGCGAGTGTTTAAAAATCAGTTATTGACAGGCAAAAATTTCTATCAATCTAATCTTATCTTCATCTAATACATAAATTTTGTTTAACCAGGATGTCTTGAATATTTATTTAAATGGTCTATTTATTAATTTTTATTTTTCTCCTTGGCTGAGAAGAAAAAGTATAACAGTATATATACAAATTGCTAAATAACCTTTTTATTTATTTTTCAGCAACGTCACATTTCAGACTCGCATGTCAACAATAGAAAATCTAGGGTGGTCAGGAGAGGACAGTTGGTCAAAGAAAAATGGTCGGCAGTCCAAGTGGGAGATATTATTCGAATGGACAATAATCAGTTCATAGCAGCCGATGTTTTAATTTTAACGTCTAGCGAACCGAATGGATTGTGTTACATAGAAACCTCCGAATTAGATGGGTAATTAGAATTTTTTATTCATTTATTCATTACAACCTTTTTAGTCACTGGTAAAAGTTTTAAGATAAATTATTAGTAATTAAATAATGGATTATAAATAAATACTTTATTTCCTTTTAAAGAAACAAACACACTAAACAAACAAACAACAAAAGAGTAACATTTAAAATTGATTCAATTGAATATAAAATGTGTACAAAGATTTCTTTAAATCTAGTTTAAAACTTATCATGCTCGTACACAATTGTTTATGCATTGATAATCTAGTAAAAAGTGATTGTTCCATTATATTGGGAGATAAAGACAGGCCAAAGGCAGAAAATATTGTCTGCAACTAGTATTATGAGGGATACCAGGTAATATAATTAGAAAATACCTTTACCAAGATATATAATACAATTATGCACAAATAAAGTTTTGGCGTATCTCGAGATATTACAGCAAAAAAAATGAATACAAATTATAACAAACACAAAAGATAACAAAAAATTAATCAAATCTAAATTACAAAAATACAAAAGGTTACAGAAATGAAAACATAAAAATTTAACCAAACCGCACTTGGTTAAGTCGATTAGCTATCTCGCACTATTATTTAATGATAAACTGAGACTTAAATGTTCATAATTATTACTTATTGAAATATCTTAGTAGCTGATGGAATTGGGTTCGTAACAAAATATTGACTGTTCTTTAAATTGAATGCATAATTCAGTAGTTACTCTCAACTGCAGGTGAAGACATGAATGAACTTTGATTCGCCCAGATGATTGCAGATAATATGATAATATACCATATTACTCGCCCAGATAAGTGGAGATACTAAGATTATGGTAACTTACAGTAATTCCTGACGACTGCTGCATTAATTCACTGAAGCTAATACTTGTATCCAACACTAAATTTAATTAACATTGAAGCATGGACGTATAAACACAGATGGACTCAGTTATTTACATAAAATTGTGAAGTCAAAATTATTTGAATAGGTCACATTCTCAGCACCTTCAGCTGTTGTCACGTTTTGTTTAAAAATTTCTTATTCGCGAGTCGCTGAAAATATTACTCCGTATTTCATACTCTACAGGTGCTATCAAACCAAAATAATAATTTATTGGTTAGATTAATATATTTAATTGTAATCAAAATATAAAGTGTGTACATAGTGTGCATTATCATTTAATAATAACGTATAATTTAGATATCAATCAATTATTTTATATGTAGAAGCACTGAAAACTATTTATAAATGGCAACGGATGTTTACATTTCTCTGTCTTATGGATCTACGTCAAACTTCAAATGCTGTTCCATGTTTGTTTACTTTTTAGTAAAAGTTGTTTTTTCGATATTTTGGCTGTATTTTGAGTGATATTTGTGAAAAGTGAAATAAAATAAACGAAATATTTACATCCCGATCTCTCATTTCATTTGTAAGTACATAAAATTTACATTATTTAAGATGAGGAAATGAGGAAGCGTGTTTGTTTACATTTTAATAGGCGTACCATTGGGTTTATTCATGTTCATTAATGTATTGAATAAGATATAAGTTCATGAAATTAGTAGACATTTTTAAATTGTAAGTAGACATCATCTGATTAAAAAAGATCTGTTTAGTACCTTTTAATTTAATATTTCTCATGGATGCAAATAAATTAGTGAAATGAATAAAACTCATTTATTTTTCTATGTAGGTTTCCAAATAATATTGACGATCGAACTATTTTGGTAGCAAATTTAGGAGAAAACAAAGATTTTTTATTGTAGCATTATTTTGATACCTATTAAAAATTAACTTGAATTCAACTATATTTTATTGTATTAATTTTAAAGCAAATAAAATTGTATTTTAATTTTTCTATAAAGACGTGATTTGTTAATAGTTAAACTCTCGTTTTTTTAAATTCTTTGAACGTGTGTTTATACATTATTACTACTTCCAATTTTTAAAATCTGAATAATTACCCGCGAGTAATAATTCAAGCACGCTTATGCTCATTGCGGAAGCATCACATTCTATCGAAGCTTCAAAACATTGTGTGTTAAAGGTATTTTATTGCTGTGTCCATCTATGTTTATACGTCCATGCATTGAAGGTACTTTATACCTACATTTCATCTTATATAGTATAGGATCAAAAAAACTGAAATATACAAGTGTATACACACTTGAAAAAAAAATGCACAGAGCGGTACGGTAACACATAAGATAATATAGGCGAAGCGTCTCAGGATAAGTCTTTTCTCAACAACGGCCCACCGAGAACTAAGTGTTTCTTGCAAAAATTTACCCAAATATAAAAAAAAGGAAGAAGGGATATCTCCACTTAGAAATCATAGGCCAGTTGTATGTATTTCTGAGAAGGTAAGATTCTAACAACATCGGAAATTTGAGGTATTTACGGTACTAGTAATTAGAAGTGATAAAATATAAATCTTCTAGATTGGGTCTTTACAGAAAAATTACTATACGTGAATTCGGAATATTTACAAATCTATCATAAAGGACCCGCCTTCACCGAAAAGCATTAGAAATGATTAAAAACCTTTCGTACTCGGGAAATTCCTTGATAGTTTGGTAGGTAGATTCTTTCATTTTTCGATAGTTTTCGATAATATTTTTTTAATCGTAAACACGATCATCGGCGTATCATCACGGGGGTAAAAGGAATAAAAATAATTAATATTTTAATTATATAAAAAAATGTTACAGTATTGTTTTAGCAGTATTCCATTGTTCGGATATGTTGCCTTAGAATAAACATTTATTAAATAGTATTTTTAGATATGTGATGGCTTCTTTTCCAGCTTTCTTCAGCATTTCTGCTAGGATTCCATCGCTTCCAGGTTCTTCGTGGCTTATTTCGAACATCACTTCTTAATTGTCATTTGTTATCTGCCTTTTCAAGTTCTGCTTTGAGGAGTTATGTCATATTATGTTAAAAATATTAAGAACGATAAAAAATACTCCCGGTAGGATTGTATAATCCTACCGGGAGTATTTGTTTGTTTCAATTTAAGTGTAGTATGATTTAAGTATTTTTTCTGTTATTCTGTAATTGTATTTTCTTTATTTTTAGGGAGACAAATTTAAAATGCAGACAGTGCCTACTAGAAACCGCAGAGATGGGTCAGAACGATGCCTTATTGGGAGAATTCGACGGAGAAATTCTCTGCGAGATGCCCAACAATCTCCTTAACAAATTCGAAGGAGTGTTAATATGGAAGGGAAAGTCTTATTCGTTGGACAACGACAAAATCATGTTGAGAGGATGCGTGTTGAGGAACACGCAATGGTGCTACGGTGTCGTGATCTTTGCTGGTAAAGACACAAAGCTTATGCAAAATAGCGGGAAGAGTAAATTTAAACGCACGAGCATTGATAGGCTCTTAAATTTTTTAATCATAGGAGTAAGTATTTATTTCGTTATTATTATTTATACAATTAATTGAAAAAATCTCATTAGTTCGGCTTAACTTCTGGAATCTTCTTCAAAAAAGATATATTTCTCCAGCAACCATATCTTAATTTGATCTTTATTGAAGGCTTGTGTCGGAATCACTTCGTCTCTCCTCAAATGATACGAAGCGTTGTCCATTACCACAACAGTTTTCTCTGGAAGATTGGGAAGCAGCTTTTCCTTAAACCATTGTTCAAATATACGACCATCTATCTCATCGTGATAGTCCGCTGAGTTTTTTTTAGCTAAAAACCAAAAAGCTGCACCTTCTGCAAAGCTCAATTCGCTACCCGCATGCACTATAACAAATCCTCGTTGTGTCGGCTGTTTTAGGCCTGTTGACAACCCTTAACAATCGCATCCCTGGTGGAAGTGACTGAAGGTCCTTCCATTCTTTGGAACCACTAGTCCAACATTCACCCAAGTTTCGTCCAAATAAATGACGGTGTATCCTTGAGAACGATTTTTTTTTATCTCACGCAAATACTGATGGCTCCATTTCAGAATATCGGGCCGTTCAATCATGCTTGACTTTACTCCTCGTTTGCAAAAAACAAAGTTCATTTCATGGAGTATTCTCCACAGTGTTGTGCGTGACATGTTTGCTAAAATATTTGTCTTTTTTAACCAGTGCAAAAACTTTGTTCAATGTTGGCGGTCAATTTTTCTTCTTCCCTAAGAAAGACGTGGCCATATCTCTTGGTAGGACTACCCAGCTTGTTGTTTTTCACCACCAAATAATTTAGACAAGATATGTATAGTAGAAAGTGAAATAAACGAGGTATAGTTATATAAATGAATAACGTTTATGTAATTATAACGTCTTATGTTTTATTTTTTTTGCTTTTCAGATAGTATTTTTTTTATTGTCCATGTGCCTTTTTTGTATGGTGGCGTGTGGTATATGGGAGTCCCTCGTTGGCCAGTACTTCCAGACATACCTCCCATGGGACACGCTGGTGCCTACGGAACCTCTAGGTGGCGCTACCATCATAGCCCTATTGGTGTTTTTTTCGTACGCTATCGTCCTGAATACGGTGGTGCCAATATCTTTGTACGTTTCCGTCGAAGTTATCAGGTTCGTGCAAAGTTTTTTGATTAATTGGGATGAACAGATGTACTATGAAAAGACGGGGACACAAGCCAAAGCTAGAACTACAACACTTAACGAAGAATTAGGTAAGAATTATGTGAATTGTCAAATTTTTAGATATTTGTTTTTGGCATTATGAATGTTGTTTTATAAAATGTGCGTAAGCGACATTTAAAATACAAAATCCATATGTGTCCATTCATTTAGGGCATTTGTTGTAAATTGTTTTATATACTGTTTTTTTTTACCTCAGAAATATTCTTGATTATTATTGAGCTTAGAAGCATTGGTCAAGCAATTTGTAACCTCTTTTCATTCTCATTTTCAAGTTTTCCTTCTAGAAAGGTTTATAGTTAATTCTCTTTTATTTTCACATGTTCCACAGTGTTTTCTGATCTGTAGAACTTGTTTTCTAGCATTAGCAACTTTATTCAGTATAAAATGTCTTCAATATGGACGCGAATAATAAAACTTATTTTAGTAAAATTGTGGCTTATTCCTGGTAAAAATAGTAAATTATTCTCTTCCTCAAAAATTTCCTTTAGCGATAAAACCAACGCTTTTCAGTTCAGTTTCGGTGATCATTTCCTCATCGGGGCAATAATTTTTGCCTCGGATTTTTTTAAATCGGAAAAGAGGTGGTAGTCGCTGGGGGCTAGATCTGGACTATAAGGTGGGTGCAGAAGCAATTCAAAGTCCAATCCGTGTATTTTTGCTATGTTTTCGTCGCATTGTCGGCTTGTAACACGTCGCATTGTCTTGGTGAAACAGCAATTTTTTCTTCAACAATTGAGGCCTTTTTCTGTGCGATTTTGGTCTTCAAGCGCTCCAATAATTTAATATAGTAATCGCTGTTGTTTGTTTTTACATTTTAAGTAATCAAAGATAGGGGTCCCAAAATACAGAGGTTATAGCGTCTTTGGTCCCTTTGGACGGCTTTCTACAAGCGCTGTCGACTCAGATAACTGGTGATTTGATCTCGAAATGAAGTGGTAGGTCCATGTTTCATCGATCGTGATATGATAACGCAAAAACTACTGACTTATTCCGATCAAACATGTCCAAACAGCACCGAGACTCATTTCGTTGTTTTGCTCTGAAGTGAGAAAACGCATCACCCATTTGGAAAACAGCTTTCTTACACCCAAATGTTCGTGTATAGTTGTAAAAATGCTACACTTTGATAATTTTAGAGTGTCAACTATCTCTTGTAACTTCACTTTGCAGTTTTCCATATGTTCTTTTTTTGTTTTCGAGAATAGCTACCTCATTTGGCCTTTCAAAGCGCTCAGCTTCATTGGTATCAGCACGACTGCGTTTTAATTCAGCAAATTATCGTTTAATGGTTGTAATCGATGGAGCAAAGTTCTGGTAACATTTTTGAACCATTGCCCAGTTTGGACTGTATTTTTCCCTTCAAATATCATTGATAAGTCAACAGACGAAATTGCTTGGAATCTATTGTTTATAGAAATCAGATAATATAAGTAGCATCGGCAATTCGGCAAATTATAATCCGAATTGTTTTTTATTAACCCCTCTGCGGTGTTTGAATACTACTATCTGGTCACAAATGACCAATTAGCAGTTATTTTCTGACCTAACTTAATACACAGTAAATATTTAAATCTAAGGGCTTACCATAAGGCTTACTCTTATTTTATCTATCAACTAATGCACTACAACTAACATGCAATAACTTCACAGCACTATACTCTGCTTTTTACACTAAACTGTTCCACATTTACACTCATTCAAATGGTTTTGTCCTTATGAGTCTTCTCTTTAGTTCAGTGTTGTCAAGAAGCTGGATTGCCTCGACATTCACATGACTATGCAGCCTCTGCTCGTGACTTGCTGCTGTTCTCTTGATTATTTCTATCACAGTTTCCATACCCAGCTCCTGGTGGAGGTTGCTGTTACGGATATACCAAGGAGCATCAACAATGTTTCTCAGTACTTTGTTTTGAAATCTCTGGATAATATGTAGATTACTAGCTTTGGTACAGCCCAAGAGTTGGCACCCATATACCCGTACTGGCCTCAGTACTTCCTTGCAGGTGGATAATTTATTATGAATTGATAATAAATTTTGACAGTATGCTTTTGAAAGTTGACACTAAAGGAGTGTCAGGCGGATAATTCATTAGAGTCGCTATCTCATGGTTAGGTGCGGAAGTTATTGTCCGAAGTAATACTAGTAATACAAAATCATGCCCATTGAAGAGAAAGCACTTTAACGACCTCTTTTTTCATTTGAATTTCATATGCGTATATTTATAGTTGAGAAAAATTTGAAGAATATTCTCCTAATTTAACAATAATGTTATTTTTTTAGGCCAAATAGAATATGTATTTTCCGACAAAACTGGTACGCTTACACAAAACATAATGACATTTAACAAGTGTTCGATAGCAGCCCGATCGTACGGTGATATCATTGACCAGAGGACGGGAGACGTCATCGAAATCACCGACGATACTGAACCTTTAGATTTTTCATTTAATCCCAACTATGAAGCCGATTTCCGGTTCTATGACAAACACCTTCTGGAAGCTGTGCGGAAACGAGACGCAGATGTATTTAGCTTTTTTAGACTGCTGGCTTTATGCCATACCGTCATGTCCGAACATAATGATGGAAAATTGGAATATCAGGTAAGAAAAACATTGCTAAGAGAAGTATATAGCGATTAGAAATACTCTTTTTTATGTTTGTGTAAATGAAATAGCAACCTTAGGACTTAATGGTATATTACATACGTTGAATATAATAAATTTATACCAGGGTCGATATTTTTTGAAACAAAAAAAAATGATAGTAGAATGAAACCTATTGGAAAAGAAAGAGAATATGCTAAAAATGGAAGAAAAAATAAATTCCACTCCATCCGAGGTCGGGAAGTGGGAGGGAGTGAGTTTTTAAGGGTAACAATCGGTTTATCGCGATTTTCGGCGAAACTAAAAGTGCTATGGAAAAAAGTTAAATGGCAAAGTTGTAGGTAACAAAAGATCTACAACTTTTGTGTTTACACTTTTTTTACATAACCTCAAAATTTTTGTGGAAAATTCCAAAAACTAAGTTTTTGGGTTTTTATTTATTTTTATCTTTTACAAAATTTTTTTTTTACGAAATTTAGTGAAACTTGCCTTAGTATTTACCCATTAAAAAATTTATTTTTTTACCTGATATTGATTTAATATCGAAAAAGCACCCTAATTTTCAATCGAAAATTCACGCGTCAAAATATCAGCTTTTTTAAAAAAGTCGGTGGGCTTTTATTTGTTGAAATCTCTACTTCCGATAGTGTAACAAATATACATTACTATGGCAAATGTTTTCAAAAAACGCAAAAAAAACAAAAAAAACTCAAATTGAATTTTTTTTTTTGTCATTATGTACAACTTTGAGATATTTCTTATTAGATATAATTAATACTGTAATTAGTCATGTAGCTTAAGATTTCATGATACATTAATAAACAAAAAAATTATAAATCCACAAAACATTAAGATTGCAAAAAAAACATGTGAAAATAGCTGTTAAAAATATTCAAGATACGTTTTAAAGGAAATTTCATAAAAAAAGTGACTGCTATATGTTTTTTTTTATAATTAAAAAGCTGGTTAATAATGTTTAATTACATTTTTGTCATCGGTAATCGTACAATATATATATATATATATATATATATATATATATATATATATATAAATATATATATATATATATATATACATATATATATATATATATATATATATATATATAATTATACATATATATATATATATATATATACATATATATATATATATATATTATATATATATATATATATATATAATATATATACATCCCGCTATCATTAGAGCGTCTTTACACTCTCTATGTATAGAGCGTCCGATTTTTAAAAAACAGTAAGAACAGCTTTTTTTCTCCTATACAAGTAATATACTCTATATGAGTAATATGTTTCAAAAATGTTTTGCAAGAAAAAACTGATAATTGTAACATTTGATCATCAATGGAGCGTCCATCACATTTCCCGCCAATAAGGCGTCCTAGTGTATATAAAAATCATCCATCTAACCGCCAATAAAGCGTCCCTATATACACTTTGCGTTCATTTAATAGACGATAGAGCGTCCTGCGATGTTGCCATTATCTTCATTATCTATTATATGTTCGTATATTTTAGCTCCGGCAGAAGTACGTATTTTAAAAAATGATTATTTATGATATATTATGCGTTAGGTGCGATAACTAAATAAATATTAATACATAATTTATTTTTTTTCTGGCGGAATTTGTAAATAGTATTGAAAAAAAAACTGAAATACTCAAAAGTAATAGAAAATATATTTATGGGAATAAGCCAGATTAATTATAATTAAAATTACATTTTTTTACAATGACGTTTCGAATTCCAAACCGAAAAGCCTTCTTAAAATATTAGAATTTTCTAAAAAAAGCTAAAAACATTTGTTAACCCTAATTGGCGGCACACAAGATGGCACATCAGATATGTTAATTAATTGTTACTCAAGCCGTTAAGTTATGAAATCTGTATTATAAATATATTACCGTTGAAGGTTCAACCGCCAATCATGCCATAAAAAATTACAAAATGTGTTTTCCTTAATATTTCAAATTTATAGCGATCATAGACCAATATTACCAAAAATCGAATATTTATTAGATTGAGTACATTTATTTCATATATCAAATGCGACTAGATTTTGAAATTTCTAATCGGTTCCTTTTTGTTTAGGAAAAAAAGTAGTTATTTAAATGGTTTGCAAAATTTTATCTTAAATCATTAGTTTTAGCTAGGGAGCCTATGCAATATGGAGCGCCACTGACTACATCTGAGTGTAGTGTAGTGTTGTTAAAATTAGTCAAGTTTTAAACCATAATATGTATATTTACATATTTTTAAAGATACTATCTATCGTTTTGGCCACATTAGCCAAATAGCTAATAAAAATATCATCCTATAGAATAATATGAACTCTAAGGTATGAAAATATTAAATTAGGTAAAGACAACTTAGAGTTACATATATTTAATATGTTGCTATTTTCAGCGCTGTTACTTCTCTATAATTTAATACATTTGTGTCATTTGTGAGTGACCCAAAAGTGGGTTCATCTCGACGTTTCGCTACAATTGTATGTAGCTTCTTCAGGAGAACAAAGAAAAGGAAACAAAAGACAGGAAGATGGGTAGTTAGCAACGGTAACTCAGTTACTCAACGCAACCAGAGGCGAATACTAACTACCAAGATGGGCATTTGGTCACAGTAACTCAACTACTCAACGCAGCCAGAGGTGAAAACCAAATGCCAGGACAGGGATTCACGTCCAACAGCTCAGAACACTAACGCGTCGAGAGGCGGGGAGTGAATCCGACGATTACTCCGCTACCGCTCTATTTATAGTCGCGGTGACCTGTCGTGTCGGGACGTTTCGGCACACTTCGTGGCGCGAACGTCAAGAAGCGCGCGCTGGCCAATCATGTGGCTGCATCGTGGTAGCGGGACCGGACGGCGGCTCTAGACTGAGATTCCAGATGGGAGACAAGTAGTATCCTTCCTCTCGATTGATATTATGTGAATTTTTTCGGATCTCTAGAGATTCGCGGATTTTCCTGGCATAAAAGATGGGGCTCTTAGAAATAATATGGGTTTTTTCGAACAATATGGAATGACCGGTTGGGAATGACCAATATGGAATGATCGAATGCATCAAAGATGCATTCGATCAGGTCTTTTCTCCCATTCTGCAGTTGCAGAACACTGCCAAGAAACCGGTCATTCCATATTGTTCGAAAAAACCCATATTATTTCTAAGAGCCCTTCTTTTATTCCAGGAAAATCCGCGAATCTCTACAGATCCGAAAAAATTCACATAATATCAATCGAGAGGAAGGATACTACTTGTCTCCCATCTGGAATCTCAGTCTATAGCCGCCGTCCGGTCCCGCTACCACGATGCAGCCACATGATTGGCCAGCGCGCGCTTCTTGACGTTCGCGCCACGAAGTGTGCCGAAACGTCCTGACACGACAGGTCACCGCGACTATAAATAGAGCGGTAGCGGAGTAATCGTCGGATTCACTCCCCGCCTCTCGACGCGTTAGTATTCTGAGCTGTTGGACGTGAATCCCTGTCCTGGCATTTGGTTTTCACCTCTGGCTGCGTTGAGTAGTTGAGTTACTGTGACCAAAAGCCCATCTTGGTAGTTAGTATTCGCCTCTGGTTGCGTTGAGTAACTGAGTTACCGTTGCTAACTACCCATCTTCCTGTCTTTTGTTTCCTTTTCTTTGTTCTCATGAAGAAGCTACATACAATTGTAGCGAAACGTCGAGATGAACCCACTTTTGAGTCACTCACAAATGACACGGTCCAAACCCGGAAGACGAATAAACTATAATTCTGACTCTGGCCGTGGAAGCCTACGATTTCATTTGACAAACCTCTACGGGGAGGTTATATTCCGCAAAACCTCAGAGTTCTCCAATCTTCGCTCTAAAGTTTCATCTCTACTTTCTTCGCTCACCTTCCTCTCTAGATGTCGTGATAATAACTTGGTTTCCAATTTTCTTGTTCTAAAGCATCACATTTCCTCTTCATCTTCTTCCCGAATTCTACATCGAGCCAGCCTATCTTTACTTCGTGAACGGATTCAACATATTCGAAAAACCCTTAATTTTCAATCCCAAAAACTTTTTAAGCTTCATCTTGAACTCTCCAGTATTCTTAGTGTCGATGATTGGTCACTTTTAGACCGCATTTCCTATCATTAAGCCGATAAAATCCTTCTTCTAAGCAACGAAACTCACAAATAGAAATTCCAATCCCTTGTATCTAAGAAAAAATCACATTAAACCACCTCTACTTCTCATTCACCTCTCACTAACACCGTCGTTAATCTTTCTTCTCACCAATTAACAAGTGCAGAAAGCAGTCTTCTATCTAAAGGCCTTAATTTTGCTATCACTCCTTCCAGAATTCCTACCGAAGAAATAGTTTCAAATGTGGAAGCGGCACTCCGCACAATTCCCAAAATTCCAGCCGACCGTATCCGCTTTGACGTCGCTAAATGTCTTGATACAGCCAAAATCCCTACTTCCAATATATCTCGTGAGGAATTCATAGCTCTCAAAAATCTCCGTTCTCTTTCTGAGATAATAATCCTTCCTGCAGACAAAGGTAATGCCACAGTCATCCGGGATACTCCTTCCTACATAGAGAAAGTAAACGACTTACTTAGGGATACATCCTGTTATAATACAATTTCTCGAGACCCCACTCCTAGAGTCGAACGCGAAATTTCCCATGCCATCAAACAATCCGATCTTTCCGATGATGTTAAGAAGTCCATAGTTCCGAAAAACTTCATCTGCCCCAGAATTTACGGTCTTCCCAAAATCCATAAAGACAACGTACCTCTTCGTCCCATTGTGACTACGATTAACTCTCCTACCTACAAACTCGCAAAGTACTTGTCGAATCAGTTTAAGACCTATACTGGTCGTACCTCTTCTTATGTCCGAAATTCCACACATTTCATCACCTTAATCTCCTCCCTCACGGTCGATCCCCAAGACATTCTCGTCAGTTTTGATGTATCATCCCTATTTACCAATATCC